CCAGGCAGCCTGACTTCAGAGCTAACCATAGCCTGACACGATGTCACTTTTCAAGTAGAATTGATAACCCTGTTGCAGAGACAACCTGGCAAACGGGAGTAGGCAAAGTAGTCATTGATTCCAGTAAGAGCTAAGGAATACGCATTGCTTTCCCCAAATTGATAACTTTCATTTTCGGCTTCAAAATCTAGAGGTTTTACTCAATCGTATAGGCCAAAGGGCAATGTGGTAGCCAGCCTACAAGATGGACCCCAATGATTCTTACCTCCTGGTATGTACCCACATGGGTGACACCATCCCACATTGAATAGTGTCAATAATTTGACCTCTGTAACCAGTAAGCTATTGTAGAAATGATGGAGAGTGACATCTGAAGGTAGATCATGAAAGACATTGCAGCTTCTACCTTGCTCTCTTGGTTTTAGTCTGGTTCCAAAATCTACTCCCTTTCTTGGCTGATTATATTTTTTAAGATAGCCACCACAATAGCTATTCAACGTGCTCTTCTACTTTGTCATCTTCTCATTAAGAGAAGGGATTTATGTCCGCTCCCCTCAAGTCTGGATGGACTTCTGTTCGACCAATAGAGTACTGCAGAAGTAAGGTAATATGACTTCTGAGGACAGGTCAGAAAATGTATGCATCTGCAGCTTTGTTTACTGAATCCCTTCACTTGTGTTTGGGAGTCTGGACCCACCACGGAAGAAGTCTGATTACCTTGACCCACCATGCTGGGGAAGGCCAAGCTATATATGGAGGGGTCCCAGGTCAGTGCTCCAGTCAGCATTACTGGACTTCCAGAATCCCAGCCCGAGCACTAAATATACAAATAAACAACCATTAGAGATGATTCCAGCCCCAGGAAGTATCCCTCAGCTTTTGAATCTTCCCAACTGAGGACCCAGACATTGTAGAATAAAGACCAGTCAGCCCCACAGTGCCCTGTCCAAATTCTTGATCAACAGAGTCTGTGGGCATATTTAAATGCTTGCTTTAAGCCACTAAATTTTGGGGTAGTTTGTTATATAGAAACAATAAGCAGGATATCCTGCAACTCCTGACAGTTTGGGCCTTCCCAAAAACGGCCCCTCCTCCAAGACCTTTGAGCTGGCTGTTAGTCGAAGACAGCTATACTGCAGGTAACTTATGATCTTAAACCGAAAGAATGGAACTAAAGCCCTAAACTTTGAGGGTTGAGTGGCTGAAGACCTTCCTGAAGAACTAAATATCCTTCTCTGTTTATACTCTATACTTCCCCTACAGTGATTTTTAAGGCTGAGAAAATGGATAAATGGATTTACACAATGAAGATGGTCATAAACATAGCCTACCACCGCCTTTTCTAATTTTTTTTTCAACGTTTATTTATTTTTGGGACAGAGAGAGACAGAGCATGAACGGGGAAGGGGCAGAGAGAGGGAGACACAGAATCGGAAACAGGCTCCAGGCTCTGAGCCATCAGCCCAGAGCCTGACGCGGGGCTCGAACTCACAGACCGCGAGATCGTGACCTGGCTGAAGTTGGACGCTTAACCGACTGTGCCACCCAGGCGCCCCTCCACCGCCTTTTCTTTTTCGGGCTGCTGTAACAAAGTTTCACAGACTGCATAGCTTGTGAACAACAGAAATTCATTTCTCAAGAGTTCTGGAGGCTGAGAAGTTCAAGATCAAGTGGCCAGCCAGGTTACGCTCTAGTGATGGCCCTCTTTCTGGTCCACAGTCAGTGCCTTCTAGCTGGGTCCTCACATGGTGGTAGAGATAACGTATCTAATTCCATTTGTGAAGGCAGGGCCCAAGCACCTTCCAAAGACAGGCTCCACCTCTTAATACTATCGTCTTTGGGGGTTAGGATTTCAACACATCAATTTGGGGGGAGAACCCCCCCAAATTCAGGCCATAGTACCTACAAAATAAAACTTTCTTCAATTTATTGAGAGAAAATAAGTTGTCGCTGAGTCTACAGAATGACCAGGATGTGGCAGTGACAATGTCTGAGAGTCACCTGTTATTAATTTTAAAAATTACCAGCACCAAAGATTCAAACTAATACATTCCTCTCCTTGAGATGGTATCTCAAAATCTTCTCACTCATACCTTATGAAGATTCATCCTGTGTTGTATTTTGACTCACAATGGTGAATATAAAATCAAGGAACAGTGGTGGTGTCCAATATTTCACCAAATAGAAGCCCCATGAGGAAATAAATTTTCTTCACTGCTGTATTCTCATTGCCTAGCATAGCGTTTATAACAAAGCAAGCACTTAAACTGGAAAATAAAATCACAGAAGAAAAAAAGAGAATGGGTTTATTCTCTGATGGATATGAAGCTCCCTATTACCACAGTTAGGCTTTTAATTGTTTAAGTCAACAAGCAAGACAAACTATTTTCTCGGCTGAAGGGCATAATGGGATATGCCTACTGGTAAACCAGCAATCAATCAATCAATCACCCAACAATACTTGACTCAATTTGAATTTTTATTAACACACATTTTTCAAAGTTTGTACAAACCAAAACATTCCTGTGTTTCAAAGTGTCCATTATACAAACATACAAATAAACAAAAGGTGTTACCAAAAGTTAGCTACTCAATTTCATGGTAAAACAGTGTCATGATTTTTAAAAACCAAAACTTCAAGACTGAGGTTTCTTCCTTCACTTTTTGGAACTTGTGGAAAGTTAGAAAATGTGTGAATCTGCTTTGTATTAAATGCCAACACCTTAAAAAAAGATTTAGTATAAAACTAAGTATGTGTTTTTATATTGTCACTTCATGAAACAGAATTTCTCAAGTCTTCCAAATTAAAAAAAAAACAAAACCCAAAACCATGACTGTAACTTTTTTTCATAATCTTTTCCCCAGAGTCAAACGTAAATGCATCTGAAAAATATTATCTGACAGTTTATCTTTACCTAAAAGTTTCTCATTCAAAAAGTTACAAAAGTGTTTAGCACTGTCGTCTCCCTTGCTTGGAAGGGAAAATGACCTCCCCTACTAGAGTGATAGATGAGCAACGTGGTCCATTGTTTCTTTTATCAGAAAGAAGCCACCCATTTCCACATTTCTGTCCAATTCTGTGCATGGCTCCACTTGTGAGAATGTTATCACAGATTACAAGCACTGGCTTTTAAGAAATGCCTAGCAAGTTAAACTGACTGCTTACAATTTTGGTGCACTGAGGTACAAAGTTCATCTGTCCTCATGGTTACCTCGAGCCTCAGGACCCCTCTGCATTAATGATTCCAAGGTAGTTGATTTTACTGTGTTTCACGGCACATCACACACCTCTCATTTCTTTCACAAACATCCCATGGAGGACCTGAGAGAATGGCGAGAAGTGCAAATCTATCTCCTCTCCCGGAAAAGTAAACCCATGTGCCTGCTCAGTCAGGAAGGGAAAGGTGGACACAAACAATTCTGGCTGAGGCCAAGCTGCTTCTGACAAGCACCTGTCTTCAAGAAACGCCCTTTTCCCACTAAAAGCAGGGAGTGTGCAGGCTGGGATGGATGAGGAGGAAGGGGGAGAAGGTACAGTGACAGCATTTCTCCCGCTCAGACTCAGAGTCCACACTTGAGCAGCTCGTACTAACCCCCAAAATGCTCTGTAGTTCAAATATTATCCATTTTGAATCTGCTCATTAAAAAAAAAAGCTGACAATGGCCCAATGTAACGACC